AAATTTACCTATGAAGTACTAAATAAATATTCAACTATATTCAAATTTAAATTACCTAGCTGTTACGCCAATTGTCAATTCATCGATCACATACGAAAACCTGTCTGTTTGCAATAGTAGTGCAGAGAGTGTGATAAATATAACGAGTATAGTATCGACGGGCACTTATAAAACATTGGTCACATGCAATGGCCTAACTGTCACTACTAATAATATCTCATTTATTATAAGCCAACCTTCAAAGATTGCCCTTGCCAGCATTAATGTCGGTCAATATCAAGGTGTAAATACATATGCAAACGGTTTGTTTAATGTCCAATCATTTTTAACAAATTTATTTAAATTAAGTTATTAGATAATGCACACGTTTGATATTGTGTTACTGTAAAGTACATTGTAATGTATTGCACTATCTTATGGATAATTTGTTTTATTTTAATCTTATAAGTAATTATTAATTTTAATACTTACTATATTTAACTTTAATGCATGCATTCTCATTAAATAATAATTTATCATCATTAATCATAATAAATAAAATGTATTAATAGGTGATCGAGCGCTACACGAAAGTGGTGTAGTAAACGGTGGTCCGTGCGGGTCATCGGTGTTATGGGGACTGTCCCTATGGGAGAGTGACCAGATTAATGGCTGCAATCAAATTAATGGAGTGACCACTGGGACTGCAATTTATAGAATATGGACATTAACAGGCAGTTTTACTACAACGTGCCAGGTGTATTTGTTTGGCAAGCTTGGTAGTTCCATCTATACCATACACCCAGGTGTTAATAATAATGGTTTGGTTTAAACGTAAATCTTTATTTGTATTATTTATTTATTATCATAATTGTTTTTTGCTAATTGATATTTAACTATTCATAAATAGATTTACAGTTAATATTTATTGTAAAAAACATTATCAAACCTTTAACTAAATACTATATTTGTTTTTATAATTATATATATTTGAATAAATATTTATTATAATTGTATTATATATTAACTATATAAAATTTATAAATTAATTAAATGTAAACACATTTTATATTAGGTTTTATTACCATATTTCTAAATTATGTTCATGTTCATAAGCCAAAACATTGTTTTCTTGTCACAATGATGGGTACATCTACGTGTAAATTCTTTGTACCAGGTATTTTTACGGTGAATCGTAATTCATACATGATGGAAATGTGCGTTATTTTCATAGATAATGGTATGCCCATCGGGACGGGTACCTAGATATTGATAATTAGTATATTTTTTATAAAATAATTTTTATAAATGAATAAACCTGGATCATCCCCGCGCCGTCTATACCCGGGGTAACCGCTAAACCAATAGACTTATCAAACTTTTTATGTTTAATCCTTCGCGCATCACTTTTTTCACACATTTTATATACTGTTTTTCTGTCCAATCGGGCGCTTGTGGTCACCCCGAGTGACGTCCGATTATTCACAATATAGTCCACTATAATTATATCACCTAGATAAGTAAATTTCGAGGTTTATAAATTACAACTTTAGCATGTTAAATAATTATATAAAAATAATAGTTTTATTAAAATATAAAATCTATTATATTTTAATAACAACTATTGTATATTAAACGAAATAATAAATTAATAATTATTTATAAATAATGGTGTAAAATTACACATAAAAATAGAAATACCTGGATAAAAACCCTGTTTATTTAAATTAACAGTGGCCCGAACAGTGCCATCATTGGATATTAGACCAAGTTGCTTTTCGCTTACCATTTGCCTTGGTAACTAAAATAATAAATTTTTACTTAATTTTGTCGGATAGATACTATTTATTAAAAAGGATTTAGTTTGTTATACAATTTACTATTAATCAGTTATTGTACTAACATTAATCTATTGAACAATAGGGTGGTTAATATTGTTTTACATTTATAGTATAACTTTTGTATACAAACCATAAGGTTAGGAAAGATAAAGGGTGCTTCTACAGTTAGTTTGATTATCTGAGCACGGTGATCTAATTTTAACATTTCAGGCTTTTTAATGATTCCATTGATAGTGTACTCGACGGTCGCATTTCTCGATTTATAGCTCGATGGAATTCCTCTATGAAATTTGAATTTAATATTACAATTATATAATATTTTATTATAATATTGATTTATAATTACCCTTTTGGTAGTGTCAGGGTGAATGGCAATTCATGGCAACCCTTGTTTAATTTCCTATCAAATGCTATTTAAAAATAAAACCATAAATATTTTTAGTTGATAATAAAACTCCATGGTAAAACATATTGAATCTGTACCTGTACCCACGAAATCAAATTCAACGATTAAAAATTTAACGTCTTCGAAGAGTGTGCGACTACTTAATTCAATTCTAACATATTCATATCCAATTAGACTTACCCCGATCTAGATTATAATTTATATATTTATTGTAAATGGTATTTATTTTATACGCTTCGCATACCTGTGATAATTTTACGACACCATCTAGCTCGATTATGCACCGGCCTCTCACCATATCACCCGAAGTTAACACATCAACATTTGAGTCTAATATAATTTCAAAACGTTTTAATTTTATCTTGCCCATTGTTGTATTGTAACACTTAATAAATTAGACTTGATTGAATGTTCTTTTATAAATGTTATAATCTCTATAACAATATCTTTTATTGCCTAGATACCGATCGTTTCCTCTTAGGGGTGATTCACAAAATACGTTCACACTGTTTAAAAAATCTAGACCCACTCCCCCCTCTATGTTCGCACTTGTTTGCATGTATTCATTTTAAAAAAGTACGCTCGCATTTTCAGTTTAACCCCCTCCACATCCCTAAGAAATAAAACAAAATACAACTCAAATTATGAATAATTTAATTACAATTAAACCAATAGTTTTAATTATGCATTATAAATAAAATTATCAATAATTATAGAAATAGTGCTTGAAGTGTTCATGTTGTCAGTGGTGGTCATGTTGAAAATGTTTTTCACTTTTAAAATACTCCAAAAACTAGAATTAATTATTTCTATTTAAAGGTAATATATTGATTCAACATTTGTTATCAAAAGATTAACTTTGATAACAGATTAATCCTTTAAATTATTTTAATCCGACCGTTCATAGGGTATTTATACCCCTTCGGAAGGGGCCCTTCCCCTCGTTCGCAAAAGTTCGCTTTGTCCGGTACCCCCTCCCCCCCAAGTGCGAACGTACTTTGAGAAAGACCTCATTATTAGTATCATACTGATGAGTAACATTTGGTACATTATTGCTAACAAAAATACTAATCCTTTGTAACATTAATGATTAATTTCTTGTAAGATTTTTAAATACAATGTTATCTGATTTGATTACCACAAAAATATGTAATGAGTGTAAATACCCAACTCTATTCAAACTACCATATAGATTTATAGCTCACAAGTTTTCCAAAATATATTTCATTTACTATAAATAATTATCAAATGTTGTCAGTCTGGCATAACCTAATACTTATCCAGGTGGTAATGTTTTACTTTATGAATTTTAAAAATTAACTTTTAATTTATTATAGAAATTATAAATACAGTGCAACTTCTCCATAATGAACGGCCAGTTGCACGACAAAAGTGTTCATTATAGGGAGGGTTCATCCAAGGGAGGTTTGAGTATAAATGTCTTATTTTTGATTAATATGTATAAATAACAGCAATTATTGAAAATCATCAGTAATTTTAGTTTATTTAGCTATATTTAAATTACAATTAAATGCTTTAGTTATAATTTTGGCCAATTGTTCAAATATCTGAGCATCGGATGCGTCTCTAGACATAAAGTAATAATTTATAGTTCACTAATCAAAGAATAAATACACATCTCTTACAATATTGAATGAAACTGATATAAAATGTGTTTTTGTTTGCTTAAAGTCTTAGATTAGAAACTATTTTGAATACATTTAGGAATCATTTTCGTATTATTATATTTGTTCATTATTGGGAGGGAAAGTTTTATCTTAATCTCTATAAATCCGTTCATAATGGGGAGGTATTCATTATGGAGAAGTTCACCTAAGGGAGGTTATTTTAACATTATAAGTATAGCAAATCCAACATAAATTTCAAAAACCGTTCATTATGAGGAGGTGTTCATCCAAGAGAAGTTCACCCAAGAGAAGTTGGACTGTATTAAATGTTATAGTATAATTTAATGCAAATCAAATTTTGGGTTTTAAGCAGAGAAACAGTAGACCTTATAATTCACACAAATTTCGTATATATAAACTTATAAATTAATGCTAAAAGCCGCTATCTACGCTAGATAGCTTGTTTTTACAACTAATTTGTAAGTTTATATATTGTTGTCAGTCTGGCATAACCTAATACTTATCCAGGTGGTAATGTTTTACTTTATGAATTTTAAAAATTAACTTTTAATTTATTATAGAAATTATAAATATTAAATGTTTTAGTATAATTTAATGCAAATCAAATTTTGGGTTTTAAGCAGAGAAACAATAGACCTTATAATTCACACAAATTTCGTATAAATAAACTTATAAATTAATGCTAAAAGCCGCTATCTACGCTAGATAGCTTGTTTTTACAACTAATTTGTAAGTTTATATATACGAAATTTGTGTGAATTATAAGATCTACTGTTTCTCTGGTTTTAAGTATTGACAATTATTGCAGCATTAAATCACACAGTAAATTAATATTTACAAACACATTGACATATAATGTACAACATGTAAATACTTGCAAATTGCAAAAATAAACAAAGTTTTAAAACAATTTTATAGATTTAATAAATAAAATTTCACTTAATTATAAAATTATAATAAGTATAAAAATCAAAATAACATGTTTTTTAAATACTGTCCATGTTAATATAGACCAAAACATTGTCTCCTAGTCACAATCACGGGAATGTTTACGTGTAAATTATTTTTACCAGGTATTTTTACAGTGAAGCGTAATTCGTACGTGATGGAAATGTGCGTTGCTTCCATAGACAAGGGTATGTCCATTGGGACGGACACCTGTATATCAAAAATATATTATATTTATACAAAACGCCAGTTAAAATAAACTCACCTGGATCTTTCCTGACCCGTCTATACCAGGATGAATGGGTAAACCAACGCATTTATCAAACTTGTTTGTTTTAGTACGTTTGTGTGAACCAACATGGTAAAGCCTTGTTCTGCTTAGTCGAGCGCTTGTGCTAACTTCCAAAGCTGTCCGATTATTCACAATATAATCCACTAGAATTATGTCACCTAGGTAAAGTAAATTGAACATTTATTAATTGGAATATCCACATGTCAAATTTATAATTGTAACTAAAAATAAAATTATTTACTTATAAATAATATTTAACAATAAAGGGTAATAAGATAATGAGAATTGTACCTGGATAAAATCCATGTTTATTTAAATTAACTGTGCCCCGAACAGAACCGTCATTGGCAAGCAAACCAATTTGCTTTTCGCTCACCATTTGCCTTGGTAACTAGAATTTGATGGATAATTTTATTAAATAGATAATACAATAATTAGAAATGATGATTAAATAAGTTAATGTACTAAAAGTAAGTTTAATAAATTATTATAATACAAATAACATGTTATATAAATGATAACAATACTATTAATATCTTTATGTGCAATGATATTGCATTTGTATTGTGCAAAACGGATGTTATCATATTTTTAACATACCATTAGCTCAGGTAGAATAAAGGGCGCCTCCACAATAAATGGTATTTTATCAACACGGTGATTTCTCTTAAATATTTGAGGCTTTCGTAACATTCCATTAATAGAGTACTCGACGGCAGCGTTCCTCGCCTTAAAACTCGATGGAATACCTCTATTAAAAAGAATGAATGTGGAAATGAATAATTTTAATTTACATTAAAACAATTGATATGTTATTTTATTTTTAATTACTCATTTGGTAGCGGAAGTACAAAGGGTAATTCGTGAAGGCCCTTGCCTATTTCCCTATCCAGGGCTATACATAGTAAAATAATAAATGTTTTTAGTATTTTAAAATAATTATATAAAATATATATTACCTTGACCCACGAAATTGAAATCAACTTTTAAAAATCGATCATGTCCGTAGTATGTAGATCTACCTTGTTCAATTCTAGCGTATTCAAAGCCAATTATGTTTATTACAATCTAACAAATAAGGTAAACATTTCTCAAAAATTATTATATTTATACACAGGTTTTAGCAAGTTTCACATACCTGTGACAATTTGAGCACGCCATCTATTTCAATTATACATTTTCCGGTCACTTTATCACCCGATGTTAACACCCGTTCATTAGAGTCTAATACAACTTCAAAGCGTTTTAGTTTTATTTTACCCATTGCTGTGTTGTGGCAGTAAATGAAACCACCCTTAAAAGTGTTATTTTGTATATAGTATTTTTTTTTATCTAAATGAGCATTATCTATTTATTACCTAGATACCAATCAATTCCGTTATTAGCAATAACGTATTGCTAAAAATAATACAAGTTTCATGTAACATTTTTTTGCTCGTAAGCTATTTATGTAGAATAGTCTAAAGGACAAAGTTCAATGTAAATTGGTAAAATGCCAAAAATTTTATATTAAATTTTTTTATTTGTTTTTAATATGCGAAAATAATTATCATTGTGAGCATAATTTAAATTGGTATAAATGATATACAGTAATTACGTTAATCAATATAAAAAACGTGCATAACTGTTACTAAATTTCTTATTTCATTTTACCACTTATGTCAGATTTGGGAAATTCCTTCAGATATCGATTCTACTCATCCATACCTTTCCATTGATATATAATATGATATACTTATTCTTAAAATACAATATTTGATATTAAAATTTTCCCCGATAAAAGTGGTCACTGCGGCCAAACCCGAGGTAGTCTAGCCAAATAAAATATACCACAATACTTCCTACAAAGTGTACTTTCGATTTATAATAATAATTCCCGATTGCACTCTTGGCATTTTTTGAACATTATTATTTATTGCAATAATCATCTGAAACTTGTATTAAGACTTGATAAAATAGTTGTCATTACATAATATGATTATAAGATGTTTTTATAAAAGCCAGTGATGAGCAACTGCATTATAATGTATTATATATTTATTTATTGGAGAACTCTTGGAAATTATTTTTACCAGGTATTTTTACAGTGAAGCGTAATTCGTACGTGATGGAAATGTGCGTTGCTTCCATAGACAAGGGTATGTCCATTGGGACGGACACCTGTATATCAAAAATATATTATATTTATACCAACCCCATGTTAAAAATAAACTCACCTGGATCTTTCCTGAACCGTCTATACCAGGATGAATGGGTAAACCAACGCATTTATCAAACTTGTTTGTTTTAGTGCGTTTGTGTGAACCAACATGGTAAAGCCTTGTTCTGCTTAGTCGAGCGCTTGTGCTCACTTCCATAGCCGTCCGATTATTCACAATATAATCCACCAGAATTATGTCACCTAGGTAGAGTAAATTGAGCATTTATTAAATGAAATATCCACATGCCAAAATTTATAATTGTAATTAAAATTAAAATTATTTATTTATAAATAATATAATGAGAATTGTACCTGGATAAAATCCATGTTTATTTAAATTAACTGTGCCCCGAACTGAACCGTCATTGGCAATGAGACCAATTTGCTTTTCGCTCACCATTTGTCTTGGTAACTAGAACATGACAAATAATTTTATTAAATAGATGATACAATAATTAAAAATGATGATTTAATTATTATATAAGTTAATGCACTAAAAGTCAGTTAAATAAGTTATTGACATACAAATAACATAGCATTGACATAATACAATGTATAAATGATAACAATACTATCTTTATGTGCAATAATATTGCATTTGTATTGGGAAAACGGATGTACTTATGTTTTTAACATACCATAAGCTCAGGTAGAATAAAGGGCGCCTCCACAATAAATGGTATTTTATCAACACGGTGATTTCTTTTGAATATTTGAGGCTTTCGTAACATTCCATTAATAGAGTACTCGACGGCAGCGTTTCTCGCCTTAAAACTCGATGGAATACCTCTATTGAAACGACTCATTTTAATTTACATTAATGCAATTTTTATGTTATTTCATTTTTAATTACTCATTTGGTAGCGGAAGTACAAAGGGTAATTCGTGAACTCCCTTGCCTATTTCCCTATCCAGGGCTATACGTCGTAAAATCCAGAATATTTTTATTACTTTGCAATAATTGTATAAAATATATATTACCTTGACCCACGAAATTGAAATCAACTTTTAGAAATCTATCATGTCCGTAATATGTAGATCTGCCTTGTTCAATTCTGGCGTATTCAAAGCCAATTATGTTTATTACAATCTAACAAATAATGTAAACATTTTTCAAAAATTATTATATTTATACACATATCTTAACAAGTTCCACATACCTGTGACAATTTAAGCACACCATCTAGTTCAATTATACATTTTCCGGTCACTTTATCACCCGATGTTAATATCCGTTCATTCGAGTCCAATACAACTTCAAAGCGTTTTAGTTTTATTTTACCCATTGCTGTATTGTGACAGTAAATGAAACCACCCTTAAAAGTGTTATTTTGTATATAGTATATTTTTTTTTATCTAAATGAGCATTATCTATTTATTACCTAGATACCAATCAATTCCGTTATTAGCAATAACGTATTGCTAAAAATAATACAAGTTTCATGTAACATTTATTTGCTCGTAAGCTATTTATGTAAAGTCTAAAGTCTTTAGAATAGTCTAAATTTATTGCAATAATCATCTGAAATTGTATTAAGACTTGATAAAATAGTTGTCATTACATAATATGATTATAAGATGTTTTTATAAAAGCCAGTGATGAGCAACTGCATTATAATGTATTATATATTTATTTATTGGAGAACTCTTGGAAATATTTCATTTAATAATAAAAGTATTTATATTCATCAATTGGTCATAGTTTGACGAACATTTTTGTTTTATTTCCCCAATTTTAAAAAATATACAAAATTTTGTGACGCAAAACTATTTTCCGGGAATATATTTTTCAAAAATGGGAAATGGATGATATCTAGATATAATATAATATAATGTTATTAATTTGGGTTAATATGACTCCATTTGTAGGATAAATATTTAAAACTCCAGTTAAACAATAAGTAAAAAGCTGTGAAAATATCACTAAACGATAACATAGAGACCCCGATCCACATGCCTATTGTGCCCCCGATGTTGTATATCATATCGTGGATATCCATTGCTAATTGTTCGGTGATGTGGGACTCTATGTAACGTTTAGGTATTAAAGTGACCATGGTGAAGGGCAGTTTGGATCTCATTGTAATAGCTGTGGACTGTAATGGTGGGTAGAGACAGGGCTTATAAACGGATGTCTCGCACGTATCGTATATGCGCTTAAATATGGTTGCGTTGACCGCTATATGCGGTCTCTCGCAGAACCGGCGCCGACCGCTCTCCACCTCCTCATCAATAATAACTGTATATTTGTTGAGAATAGGGTAACAATTGTTCACTGAATACAGACTACTCGCTATACAATAGGCCAGTGTGTCGGTGGCCCTCAATCCGTGTTTGCATTCGTACGCTTTCCTAATGAGCCGCCGGTGGGCTTGCATTGAGTACGCGATGCGTGTGTCGGCGCGCAGTCGGAGCCGAAACGCGTTCACTGACTCTTTTGACGATACGAGATATGCGATCAACTCATTCACGTTATCGTTGCTGTATTTAATGACAACTCGGTTTGGCAACACTGACGGCAACGCACCGGTGGTTGTGTTCAATACGACCGCCTTATATGGCCGTAAGGCGCGGGACTCGCGCCTGAAAAACGCGTGATTAAAATATATGTTATAAGTGTCGGACAAACCAATAGTTAGTTCCGGCGCCGGACAGTCGACTCGTTGTCCGGAGTCGTACTCCACGTAACACTCGATGAGAGACCGGTTATAATCATAGACGTGACGGCGCAACGCGTCCAACCGATTGGCCGCCAAAATGGACACAAATGGCCACTCAGTGTGCGTCAAGTTTTGTCTGTTGTGTTTCACACGACCTCTGATTTTGCGGACAATTATTTGAACATTAATGAGAGGCAGCCGTATGTTTGCGCCCAACGTTATGCTCACTTTAATGTTGGACTCGGTGTAAGTGTTATACAAGTCTATGAGTTGTAATGACATTAAAGCGATGCAAGTAATTAGTGGAAATACATTTGTATACTTTAGATATCGTTTGATTTTAAAATTGGTCTTAAATCTGGTTTTAAGCACAAATCGGCGCCAGAAATACACACAATTGGCCAACACGTGACCGATAGCCGAGTGGACACTGAGTCCGGTATACATTCCCATTAGACCCCCGATTGAGCACAAGTATGCGATTGAATCCATTTTGGGATTCAGTTTCCAATTCATACTTAATTTGTTTGTATAATACGAATCGATTCTCAAATTAGTTTTCTTTTTAACATTTATGAATTTCCCGCCAATATTTGCGATATAAGTGTTGCAATCTATGGGACACTCGCGGTGTAGACGCCGATAGTCGGGTCGAACGAAACATTTGGTACCGTTATTACCCCTCAAAGTGTAACGACTAGTAGTGTTGACCAAATGGTAACTCCAGTAGTGGTTGTGTTCGCACACTTTCCTCTCCATCCGTGCCATCACTTCAACCAGACATTCAGTGCGCGATTCGGACGCCAGTGATCTGTCATCTCGTCTATTATTAACGCTGTAATCATAACACGCCGTACGATAAGGACTGGGGAGTAATGTTTGGAGTTTAGCCTCGATATTAACACCGTATATATTTCTATGTTTATTCATCATAATCAATTTGGTGAAACTAGGCAACTCGTTGTGCGCTGTAAATGCAAAATGGACATGGCGAATTATAAATATTTTGAGGTAAAGGTAATCCATCTTGTTAATACGAGACCCATTGACCCTTCCGTACAGTTGAGTAACGCATACACTTGTGTCGGGTCGGTATCGCACGTAAGTCGGAAACAATTGATGACAAAATGTGTTTACATTGTATTTGTCTCGTAAATAGCAGTAAATGTATCGCTTAAACAACAATTGGTGTAAAGTTTGGTTTCGTTTTGTTAAGTATTTTTTGTCAAAACATATAGTAATCGATGGCCTGAATAGCACTGACCGGTCGTTTCGGTCGGTCACTAAATCGTTGATCACTTCATACCGTAAATAATTGACGGTTTCGTCACATAATTGATATACAAATAGCGATAGAATTGTGTATTTAATTATACTCTTAGAAATCATTCTCGCAATACTTAATGTTGCTTAATACTTAATTGCGTTATAATTATTAAAATATATCATATTTTTATTTTTTGTTTTTTATTATGGCGTATTTTGTAGTTGTTATAACCATGCTTGTGAATTTTTCAAAAAAGGAGTGGAATTTCACTCGAAAAAATTGATATAACTATAAAGTGATTAAGGGATTATATCCAGGCACATAAAATCATGAGATGTTTACACTATAATACTTAAGGATTTTACTGAAATTTTCATATGAACATTTTATTTAGACTAAATATTGAAATTTTGGGCTAAATTTTCATTAAAATGTGAAATCTTCATATGTTTTAAACTAGATACTTTTAATGTGGTGAAATATATAAACATCAAACTAATTAAAACATTTATCATTTAAAATAATTACGAAAATTATTTTGGTTTTTTAAATATTTCAAATTAAGCAAAGATTTTTAAAGATTCTTTTATTTTACTTTAAGTATGAATTCTAATATTCTATACTACAAAATAATAATGAATTTACGACACATTAAGTATTCTATTTAGTATTTAAATATATTACTTTTTAATAATAGTTGCTAATTTACACAAATTAGTGATTTATTTAGTAAATATGTGTAATATAAATGTCGCTAATATAGAGTGGTTGAATATTTAGCCTAAATGTTCAACGAGATCCCTAAACGTTCCCAAACTTTCACCACTAACATCTCTAATAATACTGCTCAAAATACACTGAATTTTGTCTATTATTTCACACAAACTTCATTGCATTTAATATACTCTTCATTTTAATCAACGAAACACTTATTAATTGTGAACACATTTCGTTTGTTTTGTGCATTTCAATCAACAAACCACTCATTTATTTGGTATATTTTGTGCTTTTTGTGGAAAACATTTGTGACATTAATTGAAAGCACGCTATTGTTTATGAGATTTAGTAATGATATGACAATTGTTTAGCATTTTATCACTGATTTCACATAAATTCACATGTTTAGCCCATTGTTTGCATGGACTTTGTGAAAAGATTCTCAACAATTCACCATTTTTTTGAGTGATCAATGTAGCAAAATTCCTAAGCTTGGTGATTAGATATTCATGTAATTTTATTTCATGCTATAAATAATTTTTTTGTTTATTTATTTGGCACTTTTATTCACTGCATTTATTATAAATATATTTATTATAATTACAATCAATGGTCTATCCATTAGTTCAAGTCTACTAAACAATTATCACTTTTGTTAAACCTATAGATTCTGGTATTTGGAAATGTTATCTAGAACAATTTATATATTAATATCTTAATGCATGTTACTATTACACACATGATTTTGATTAAATTTCACGTGTTATAAAAATAGTAATATTAATAATTATGATTTTTAAAAAGTTTTATTTAAATTAGTAAAATATACTTATAAATATTATTAACTTATTTAAAATAAGTAAACAACAAAATATTAGTAGAATATATTTTGCAAAATATAAATTGGTAAATATTTCTAAAATATAGTTTATTTGATGAGGGTAATGATATTTTTAATTACTTAATTAATCAATAATCATTTATTTTAATTACAGTTTTATGGTATTAGTGCAATTCTTATTACTATTAATTCATTCACAAAAGTATATTGTTTATTTATTTTGAATTGCGATTCACTGTATTTTATTAACTTAAAATAGCATTTATAAAATGTACTAGTATCATTCTGTGGACTGATCTGTCATATCAGTTAATTCAGTATTCTAGTTTAATATGATTAATTATCTACGTCAAATGTTATTGAGATAATTAATATTTTATAATTAGAAATAAAATCTAGATCTAAAAGCTTATTTTGCAAATAATCCCGATGAAAAACATTATTAATTATGATTAAGATTAAATAACATTAAATTTAGTGCATTAATACTAAGTACCTTGTATTACGTGGTACAATATTGTAAGTTTCCAAAGTGAATTGAACATGTTTGAGCATATAAGAGCACGTGAACAGTAAATGATATTTTATTAATATAATAAATAATAAAATATTTTTTTAGATAAAACAATAAAAATATTTTTGAATAAACTTAAAAATTATATTTATTTAATTGTTTTAAATATGAGAACATTTAAATAATACAGATTTAATCTTATTTTAATAAAAATATTAAGTTTGCAAACATATTATCACTAAATCTTTACACATAGTAAATGACACAATATATCATTCAATAAATCT